CATGACGTAGAGAATATGAGGTAGGTTATTATACCTATATAGGTAGGTACATTAAATTTAAATAATATTTAATACACGCGAATGGTTATACCCAAAAAATTATTTTCGAATTGGAACGGTGAAATCGTCACCGCTGTGCCAATCAGATATTATCATAAAATATAATTTGTGTATATAGGTAGGTATAAACCAAGTAAATTGACGTATATAATATATATTTATAGTGCAAAACAAAATTTACACTTTATAGAAAATCGGACTAATATATATTTCATATATAAGCAAAAAAAAAACTGAAGAGACTTAACTTTATTCAGTAAAATACATTGGCGTAGAAATCGTCTATACCTGATCATTATTACTTATATATATATATATATATATATATATTGTATTATGCAGTATTATAGGTATTATTATTAGTAGTATAATTATCACCTACCTATATATGTAGGTATTAGGGGTGTATTACATTGTTTCGAAAAGAATTTCTTTAAATAAGTTTAAACGGAGTAACCTATAATGTTCGAAAATATAACAATTTAAGTGGGACAAAACACACCTTCCGTACATGATTATATGCACTTGAAATCCCCTATAAATTACTATAATACATGTATGTCCGTATTCCGTATATATAATATGTAATCAGTGGTATGGGTACTTTAACCATTATGTGCAGTGTGTGCGTATATATACCTAATATAGCAACGATATTATAATCCCTTTTTCTTTCATCGTAGTCGTCATCACAATATAATACATATAAGTATATATTAGCTGTACTTTGTATATACGTCTCTATATACTTCACCATTTATTATGAGGCACTTACACAGTAGCGATTTAGGTTCATGAAGCACGAACCTATGCATGTATAACAATACCTTCATTTATATAATAAATGCATGAGAAAACATATATATGTATGTATGTATAATACCTATTATAGGTATATGTACATTGTATACTATAAACAATACATATATAAACCTATATATTATATAGTAATATGCTCGTGGTGGCACGTTAAATATAATATGCTATATTATATATCTATAGCTGGTTTCTGCAGTTCAATAGGTGTCTGTTGTGTTCTGGCATTATACATGTGCGGGTAGACTTTAAACGATGTTTTACTAAAAAAAACCATAATAATAATAACAAATGGAATTTTGGACATTTTGTTGCTATTATTATATTTATTTATTGTATTTTTTTTCGAAACTTTTGAAAATCGCGTGACTCCGTGATCGCGATATTATAGGTGTGTGTGTTTGAGTGTACCTATATATACCTGTGTATATTCATTTTAAAAATGACCGTTCACAATAATTTGAGCGGCCTCAATTGGATTCAATCGATTTATGTTTAAGACCCACGACCGCACACTTTCACGGCAATATGGTCATTCGGAAAGTTGCACTATATTGTAACCTAAACTATTCGTACATAATACCTATATTTTTTTCCTTGTAACCGCGTTCTAAATTAGTTAAAGCTCAGAGTCGTGACAAAGGCGGTTTCGCATGTAAAACCACCAACGCAGTTGATTATAAGCGAAAAGGGGAAAGAAAAAAAAACTAAAGAATAAACATAACTTGCCTGCATAACGCACCGTGCTACGTTGTCGCGACAAAACGGTTTTCCCCTTCAGGCGTATCGAATTTTCCACTGCAGGGGTGAAATATGTTCGCCAGAGGTAAAATATTTTTATAATAACAAGGCCCGGCCCTGCGCATGAGAAATTAAGAAGAAAAAACTCGACCGTTGTTGTGAAAAAACGTCGTAAAAAAACACCTCGTAAAATATTCAATTTTAACGGGACCGAAACAGTTTTTAGCGTTTACACATCCTATGTATATATTTACAGTGCTGTTAGGCAAGGCTGATGTATTTATAAATTATATAGGTATAAACTATAAAAGTTGTACTGTATATAATTTAACTTTTTCTATACATAGAGACATAGCTGTGGTCAGAAATATTACCATTGAACTTCAATCAGTATAATGAGTGCTTTAATAAAACAAATAATGTATTATACCTGGAAACCGGAAGCTCCATAGACGAATAATTCAGAAATGTCATGGCCCCGTACAGTTAATTCCTTTTTTTACCGTTCCTTATACCTCTTATAAATATACATTTTTGATACCTATCTGTAATAATGCGGGAAAATGTTTATTAGAATCTTATAGAAGTTCGTTGAAGACCATCATATGCTATATTGATATTGTGAAATGCGAGTATTATTATCAATCGATTGATCGATGATTTCAGGGGATGAGGAAAAAAAATTTTAATTTAAAATGCTAGTATTTTTTTAATATTTTGTAGAAGTTCTTACATTATATTGTTATATTATACTTATATTTATGGAGCCGACGGCTATAACAACAATAATAGTATAATATAATAATATTACAAGGGCGGAAATCTCGAGTACGCACTTACGGATTACGCCTATTGTCCGCGAGGGGGTTGATGTTAATCCGACACGGCCGATTCAAACGTCAAAATTGCAGTTAGCGTTTCGTTATAGTATAAAGTATACATACATATCTTTCTGTGAATATACATATAATAATATGCAGCGTGTATATGGTGAGCGTGTGTTCAATAAAATAATAATTTAGGTGTATCGATTTATTTGCAAGAGGATTATTATTTTCATACTGACTGTTATTTATCTATATATTTTTATACGTGACAATAATATGGGTGCCTTATACAGATACATGCTTAACGAAACGAATTTTTCACCCAAACACTATAGTGCAGCAGATCGAATTATACCCTACAGCACATATTATTTACGTTTATATTTATTTTGATTTCGCCCGTTTACCTTTACCGGTAAAATCCATTATTATATTATTGTTACTATTTTATTTGTGCCATTCTACCTGAATATATATATCAATAGCAACGCGATGAAAAGACGTTACCTGCTTATACTTCCAATCATCAAAATATATATTAAAGCTAGGTATTATTTTATTTCTGCGGGAAGTCCAGAAAAATGCTACAACGTATATCCACTAAATAGTAAATATGTATTCTACTATACTTAAATATAGGAATGAAAAGTGTAGCCGCTGGGTTACTTCTTTTATCAAGCAAATCATGTCTTCTTACCTTACTTATTTTAGCTCATATTCTTATTGTAAAACTAATTTACAGATTGTATATATTCAATAAAAAAACAAAAAAAAAAAAAAAAATATAGGAATGCGATTCGTGTGATGGGAACTTATAATATTATGTCCGTTTATAGTGGTAGGTATCTATAAGAATAAATGAGCACACAGGTAGGTATATAGTAGTAGGTACCTATATATACATACCTATAACCTATGCGTGTTGTTATGCTTTTATTATTATACTTAAATATGTTTATATTATAGGTACCTATATACACTCACAAACATACGTAGTATATTTTAGCGTACATCATTGTTTTTTGTTTGCACAACCAGTCGTTTAATGAAAAAATAAGTAAAATAAGAAATTACGTAAATACCTATACTTGAGCTTATGTATATAAGTATATATTATACACTGTTATACCTACTGCAAACGACGTAAATACATGTAATAAATACTTATTATCAATTATATCTTAGAAAGGACGATATATTGTTATTTTCAAGCAAGGTTCCTTGACCCAACTGCAGTATGCTCATAATATATATAGATACAATAGGTTTATGTATATGATGTATCTACTGTCAGGAACTCAGGAAAATCACATAAATATATCTATATGTTATATGCATCCTGAACAATTATGTACCTATCAACGAAATTCTTGAGTGAACATATATATAGTATAATATACAAGCGATATATGAGATGCACATTTATATATATTTAATATAATACATGAACTATATCAATGTGTAAACAAAACTCGAATAAATCTGATATATAAAATTAAGAAATATATTATCTAAAAATTATATTGCATTATTTATGTCTTATTATTATACCACCTATAGCTATAGGTGATAATTTTGTATAGGTAGGTACCTGCCTAAATATTCCTAGGTTATGACTCAATAAGACCAATATGCAGCCTCATTGAAGAACTACGTATTTTAAAAATTAATGAAAATTAAATTAATCAAATTAATATATACAACACTATATTATGTATTCGATATACGTATAAGTACATAATATTTATTTATAAATTATCTTGTGCACTCTCCCTTTGAACGAATTATAAAATTTTGAAATTAATATATATGAATCATTATATTATAACTTAACAATTATTACAACTATAGGTTATAGGTTATAGGTTAGCGTTATAGGTTATACATACCTACAACCCACTTTTATTATTTAAAAAAAAATGAAATAGTTTTTTGTATCACACATTATTTTTAGTCGTTACATAAATATATGTATATATAGGAATAGCTTTGCACAATGTACCTATATATAGTAGAATTGCCTGTAGTAAAATAAGATTGTATTTTTGCTCTTATAGGTAGCTATAACCTAGCTATATTTACCATAATGGGTAACTATATAGAAGATTTGATCAGCATAATATATATTATATAGGTGGGTAAAAGCGATGATATATTTTAAATGATACCTGTATACCTTTATACGAAATATTATGACTATCGTAGTTCGTGAATCAAGATTTATATTTTATGACTGTATTAAACACATTATTACGAATTCTATATTTACCCCTAGCTATATCTTTGATATATATATATATAGGTACCTACATATGCATTAAAGATATTATTCCGATTTTTTTACAGAGACATATGCACTTGCACTTTTTTACACACTTACTTAAGTTATTTTTTATGACCTATCCACTATATAGTATATACCTAACAATTATTTTTAAAATTTTGATTGTAATTGTTTGATGTACGTTTTAGATATATATCTAAAATATGGGTATGTTTCTACCTACAAATTATACCTAACTTTGTGACATAACATAGGTTGAGCAGATGACTTACCGTTCGAGCAAACTGACGAGTTGTCGCCTGGCAGTCCGCTATCGGTGCCACTCTCGTGATCGTCGCTCAGGTCCGAGTCGGCAGGCCCTCCGCCAACGCCGGCGGGCCCTGCTCCCTGGCCACCTCCTCCGCCGTTGCTGCCGGAGGACGCGCGGCCGTGCAGAGACAGGTCGCGTGGCCCGTCTGTGGACGAAGCGGGCGACACAGGCGAACCTCCGCCGTTGTTGCGCCCGTTGTCGGACAGTATGTCCGTGATCATGAATCGGGATCGGCCGAGATGGTGCATGGGCATAGTGCCAGCCGCTGATGCGGCCGTGAGTTCGTGCACGGTCATCGCGGTGGTCGTCGTCCTGCTATTACCGATACCGTCACCGCCGGTGGCCACTGCAGCTGCTAGCCCGACCGGCCACTGCTGCAGCAAAGACGTATTGCTGCGACCGGATGACTGCACCGTACCGCCGATAAGTGTCGCCGTCGTGGTAGTGGTATATATGGCGTGTGGCTGTCGTGGATGATTTTATATACACAATTATAACGTCGATGTGCCGTTCGGCCGCTATTCAGGTACAAAATACGAGTAGACGTGTACGACGCGCGCGAAAATATAAACGTAAGAACGGTCGCGGGTCCAAAAATTTGAGACGACGAAAAAAAAAATCACAAGTCTATACGATGTTATAATAATGTTTACAAAAATAATAATACATAAACACTCGGGTGTGTGTATGTAAGTGCGTTTTAGAGTATAACAACGTTAAACAGCGAACGCAAACGCGCGAGAGGCGAACGGTACGCGCCGGTGTGCAGTCGATGGTTAACTAAACGATTGGTTAAGCGACTGTTAACGGCGGCGGTGACGGCGGCGGCCCGCGTCGGTGGGAGACTACCGCCCATCGGTGGGAGGAGTCGTCCAACCGGAGATGACCTCCGCCCGCCTGCCTGCCCGCCGCGCGCGTACGCACGTATATGGCATAACCGGATTATCACTCCCCGCGACCACTTCTCCCAACCTCGGCGCACCGCACACGAGCCCATCCGACACGACCAGCCAAAACGACCACACCGCCAGGGCGATCGCGTCCACCGCGCCGCCTCCCGTACAGTTTAACGTTCCTGCACCGCCGCCAAGCGTCTCCCCGCCATGTCGCTGCCCGATCGCTCTTATTTTTGCCGCGCGTCTATCACTCGCCGTTCACTGTCTCTTTCTCTCTTTCGGGCGCGCGCCCGCGCACATCTGCACCTCGCGGAAATACCTATAAAGTTTACAATTTATCACCGCGCCCGATCGAACGGCGCTACGAGAGGAGTGCGCGTATCGCCGGTACACATTATTCGGAGATTGTTTTTCTTTTTCGGCCACATAGCGAGGTGCACATATAGCGCACATTAATGCCGCTCTCGCCCTTTAGATTATACTTTAAGTCTTTTAACATATCCTTTCTCGTAAACCATATGCTAATATATATATATATATAAATGTTATACAGACATATACTATAGATGGATATATTACTATATTATATAGAGTATATTTACATACAACTTCAATATGTAATGTATTTATACATACATACTATTATTTATGACCTATATAAACGATGAGCACATATAAATACTCGCCACAAAGCTATTTAGGTATATAATATAAAGGTATACATCACAATATATTATTATTACACGTCTATTGTAATTCAAACCTCAAATCACATTTTCCGTTCTCATACTGCAGTACACCTATTTATACTATATGTTATATACTTCTTCTTCTTCTTCTTCTTCTTCTTCTTTTAGCTGAACGGTCCATGCAGTATAGGAGCTGAGCAGCCACGAGCAATTATCTCCATCTTTCCCTGTTCAATGCCAGATCAACTGACACATTTCTTCCCATCATTCCAATATATTATCTTTCTCTACCGCATCTTTCCATCTCGTTCGTGGTCTGCCTATTGGTATTTTCTTAAGTATGGTCTCCGTTACTGCTTTTCTTATAATATCATTATCAGCTCTCCATATACAGATACCCAAACCCGTCTAATTATAATATATATTATAATATAATATCGGTATTTATGTGCCAGTTAGATGCGACATTTTAATATTATACAGGTAAGTAATATATACTAGTATATATTTACTCAAACTCACTCGCTTTATGGAAAAACATTTTAATTTTTCAGATTTCTATAACTATAATACAGAGCTAACAGCTGCTAAATCCAAAGGTATTTATATATTTGTGATATAGGTACCTAAATGTTAATTGGTATAATATATAATAACGTCAATAATAGTAATTTGTTATGGCTTATTATATACTGTAATATGACAGTATTGGGACTGCTGCAGGTATAAAAGTATTTTTGTAAATGTCTCTGTCGTAATACTCGTAATAGATGATTAGGTACAACTGATGACGGCTACGGGCTAATAGGTTGCACAATAAATTGAAAATCGATTTACAGCAATTTTATAGTATATAATAAAAAATGAGTTATAGTTTTTTAAATTATGATACTTGCAAGTTTATTAATCTATATATTATAAACAAATGCATTCAATGTATAATATAATATCTTCGGGTCAATAACATACAAATTAATAAGGTAGATATATATAGGTATACAGTTGAAACACAAGGTTCTACCATGCATAAATAGTTAAATAGTTAAATAGTATTTATAAACGCATTATTCCTATATAAATTAATCTTATATGAATGACTTAAAATAGGTAAGCTAATATTCATAGTATTACGAGTATGATGTTGATGCTCAAAAACAATATAATATAGGTTGAGCACTGAAGTCGCTCTTTAGCCATTATAGGAACTGCAAAAATCTGTTTAACCCAGAGACTATATAATATACATAATATGTATATATAACTGCAATATCAAATTAATATATTTTTACATAAATGTAGTTGTTTTATATTTTAGAATTATGCTTGGGTATAGTTGGGTGATAATAAGTATATAGTGTAAATGCATGGTAATTAATCGCGTAATAATACATGTATAATGATTATACACAGACCAATAATGGGTGACGATATTATAAGGTATATATTTTGTAAGTAAACTCGCATAAACTATCTATAATAATAATTTTCCCATAATTTACGCTCACTTAGGAAAAAAAAGTGGTAATCTATATTATATGTTAGGTATATATTATATATATATATTGTGTATATAGCAGCATGTGCAACTACCGTAAATAATATTTGTTTATTATTGTTGAGTTTTTTTTTAATCACACGTGTCCATTTCTGTATATATTATAATGTTTTTATACTTAAAGACTATAAAAGCCTATAAAGGTAAATAAATAAATACGGAAGAATCACCATTGGATTATATAAATAAATAAAAGGTATTTTATAAGTATTTTTTTTTTAATGAATAAAAGTTATATTATATTCAATCGACTATATGCACATGGACATATTATAACGGAAAAAAATATTATTGATTTGCATAATTCATGTTTTGAACATATACATACCTATAATTATAGTAACTTACAAGCTTGTCGATGGTTAAAATGCCAACCGTCAAGCCCCCACCCTGCTATAACATTGATGAACAATGTAAACATTGGTTTTCAAAAGAAAAATTGAATTTCGAATCATTTTCTTGCGTGTCTTAACCGATTGTCAACACACTTATATAATTCAATTTTTATTTTTTACTATACAATTTTTCTTTTATTTGAACATTGTATGCCAACGACAAAAAGATATCAGGAACAAAAGTTTATTCTTATTTTCCATATGTTATCATTCATTAAACGTTTTACACAAGATAATGTGTATAGGCACATTAATTAAATTTTTTAATTTACCTGATGCAAATCATTATTTTTATCGTGTTTAGTAAATACAACAAATGAGGCCATCGTCCAATTAAACAAACATACATTTGCAAATGAGTTTTAAACAATAATAATTTGTGTAAAGTTATCGGGAGATGAGTAGAAACACGATGAGATGAGCTCAGCTAAAAAAATTAAATGTTTCTTAATTAAATATGATATAATATATAGGAATATAAGACATTGCAGGTATATATATCTGTATTTATAACATTTTTACAATATATTTACTATACACTTCAACAAAATATGTTTTTATTTCAAATAACATTTTAATAAATAATTATTTTGATTAATAATAGCGTTTTTAAACTCAATATGTTTTTTTAGTATAATAAAGTTATTAATAGTTTTGAATTATTAAAAAAGACCACAGAGAAATACTAATTTATGATAAATTTTAATTGATGTTAAATTATAACTCGCACTTAATGCACTACCTACTAATTTTTCTTTGTGATTTAATCATAAATGAATAATTAAATCTTATTGATCGGGTTGTTTATTTATTTTTAATGTTTCTAGTCGCAATTACTTGAATATATTAAAAATGATGACGCATTCAAGGATTCCGCTTTTTGCGTATCTCTTACGCACGAAAGCATTTTGTTTTTACTCCCTTGCAATGAAAATAATGAAATGTATGAAAATAGTAGCTGGTATACCTACAACTAAATTATTTGTGCATTTCAATATAACTCGCACGATATAAAAAAATATATAAATATATATATTAGGTATAAATTGTAATTTATCCAATGAATTATTTTGCTCCCGAAATGGCGAAATTTATCCCACGATTAATTTGTGCAGTGTTCGTTGGCAATATTATTGTACACCATGGGTATATACTTATACAGATGAGTCTAGAACACAAGGCGACTAACAAAGTTACTTATATAAATTAACATACCGTGAGCTAGCGAATCAGGCAATTTTCGTTTATATTACAGTTCGTATAATTGAATTAAGTGCCGGTATATGTGTTTGTGTGTGTGTGTGTGTGTGTGTGTGTGTGTGTGTGTGTGTGTGTGTGTGCGTACACGAATGCACACTGGCATTGTTACAGAAATATAGCGCAATCATAATGGATTTGTTTGTCAACAATAATTGTACGGAATAATCCTTGGATTTAAATAACCAATTAGAGCGGGCGCGCTGCAGTGATTTTTTAAGTGCATCGTTCGATGCGCATAAAACTTGTAAAATCGGTCTTGGCAACACACCCGCGGGTATTATACAAACATATACACATTAATAATAACAATAATATATCTGTACAGGACTTGTGGAGGACTATAATACCGAGACCACATGGCCGATAATAATGGGGATGACTATTAGTGAACCGCTATATGCAGTACATGATTATATCCAGATGACAATACTATTTTTAGTATAATTAATGTATAAACTATAGATATGTATAGATATGACTAGATATGACTCGTTGTCGCACCTATATAGGTACTGATTTTTACTAAATTAAAAAGTGCCCGGATACTGAAAAAAAAGCGTAGATACTTTGAAAAGTACAATAAATATTCTAAATATATTTTTTAAGCAGTATATAATAATTGAAAACTAAATTGTACGATCTGAGTAAATTAAGTACACGAATTGTGTTTGACAATAATTCTATATTATCCTGTTGTAAGATTTATCTTTGTTTTACATTATCGGTAGATATATTATTGTATAGACATAGAGAATATACCTTGTTGCATACTGAATAATGATATAGTATATTATACCTGAGCGACGAGCGTGATTATTGTTATTTGCTTTGTACGAAATGTGCGTTAGAACAATTCAAAACAGTTCCTCGGAGCAATAACAATATCAAAAAGAAAAAAATCAAATTTCCATAAATAGAAATATTTACCGCCTCTGTGCATACAGATTAATACTTCAAAACGCTCAATATTGAGTGCGTGAGAAATCCTTGACCGCTTATTAATA